CAGCAAACTACGATTAGATCTGTCCAGCAACATTCACTTCTCTCAGCATTAGTCTTTGGGTGTGCACAGGCACACACTCCCACACCCAACTTTAAACATAAGCACAGGAGCCACATTGTCAGTCCATCTTCAACTCCCGCTGATTGCTGTGTCAGTGCCCAGCACTTTCGCAAATCAGTCCCATAATCAAAAAATGTGTTCAATCACAATGACCGGGCCAGTTATCATAGACAAGTAAAGCTGGAAGGGACCTCAAGAGATCATTTAGTGTAACTGGAGAACTGAATTGCAACCTTAGTGTTGTTAGCACCATGCTCTAACCCAGGGGTGGGCATTTATTTGGGCTGGAGGGCCATTTAAGGAGTTTTGGTGAGCTGTTGCCAGCTGGGGGGAGAAGGGGTCCTATCGATCCTATCTGGCCACGGGCCTGTTTGCCCTGCACCCACTGCTGGGAGCAACGTGAGCAGGTGGGTTGGTGGGCAGGGTCTCCATGGAGAGCAGCTGAGACCTCCACAGGCAGGGTACACTCAGCTGGGCAGATGGGATGGGGCCGTGGGCAGGCAGAAGCAGGACAGGGAGCAGGGCTGGGATCATGGGCAGTGACCGCGTGGGGCCGGGGCCCAGGGCAGAGCCACGATCTGCTGCCCGCACATCCTTGTGATGGGAGCCAGATCTCTGCGCAGGGATGTGCAGGGAGTAAATCATGGCTCTGCCCCAGGCTCCAGAGCTATCACTGCCCCATGATCCTGGCCCTGGCTCCCACCTGCCCATCCCGCTCTAGGAAGCCATTCCCCACCTGTCCACAGCCCCATCTCGTGCGCTTTGCCCATGGGGGTCCCAGGCTGGTCTCCACGAAGACTCTGCTAGCCCGCCTGATTTTTTTGGTGCTCTCAGTGGTGAACGCAGGGCAGACGGGCTGGGGTGCCCGGGCAGTGGGGCCAGGTCCAGCAGCAGCAACGATGCCAGTTGCTGCCACCAGAAGGAGCCACTTCTGCGGGGGCTGCTGTGAAGCTGAGTCCTGGTCCAGGCAGGGCTGAGGGACTCACTGCAGGCCAGATATAATCCCTTGGTGGGTCAGATCCGGCCTGCGGGCCATATTTTGCTCATCCCTGCTTTAACCCACTGGTTTTCAACCTGCAGTCTGCAGACCCCTGGGGGTCCACAGACTATGGGTCCACAAAAGATGACTATGATCAATCAAAAATATGCGAATACCCACACTTACAATTCAAAGGGGTCTGGCACCTCCACGCAAAATCTCCAAAAGGGAGCAAAACCTCCATTTGAAAATTTTTAGGGGTCTGCAAATGAAAAAAGGTTGAAAACCACTGCTCTAGCCAACTGAGCGAAGTTTAGAGGCTTCCCTGTTTGCTTTGTACACAAACATGTTACTGAACTGGTTGAGGATGCATAACAGGACAGGAATAGCAAATTGGAGAAACAGGTCACACAGAGAGGGTGAATTTGCACTCAGAAGAGGAAATTGCAAAGTCTGCCTTGCCAGAGGAAAAAGTCCAGCTTCTCAGCGTCACAGTTACCAGAAGGAAGTATAACCGTCATCTGGTCTGACCTCCTGGGTAGCACAGGACACAGGACTTCCCTGAATTAGCTCTTGTTGGAAGTAGAACTTGTCCCTTGAGGGAGCCAGGTAATACCTAGGAGCCCCAAAGCAGGGTACAAGAGTAAGGGAAGAAGGGGAAAGCTACCCTCAGGGCAGTGGTGGTCAGGCTCAAATGCCTGCGCATCTTTGAAGAATTAGAAAAATATAAGCTGATGCTGACAAATGGGGCTTTCTTCGTTATGCAGCAGCCTTGTGGCTCTTCACACCGTCTCTACCTGGCAGAACTTGCCATCCCAGTCAGGCAAACCAGGGGACCACAGTTCAAAGGCAAAAAGGACATATGGAAGATTTTCCAGAGGAGTAGGGATTGAGGGAGCGGGGTGGAGGGCATCCAGACTGCAGGTGGAGGCAAGAGGAGAAGATGGGGGAACAGCAGAGCACAAGGGGTGTGAGAAGTAGGGGAATAAGACCAGAGGGTTTTTTTTTTTGCCAAAGCCGTATTTCTGTTTGTCCTGCTGCATTTTGTTAAATTCCATGGCTGTAGGGTTAAATGAGCCTTTTTTGCTTTTATCTACTAGCTTGGAGATCAATGATTCATCTCCAGTATCTGTAATTATTAGCATAGCTGAATGGTAAATCCATGTATCCATCAGGGAGACCGTGCTGGTTTATCCCCAATGTTCACCTTGGGAGAGGCATTAACACTGGATTTAATATGCCTTGACATCCACTCCATCAGCACATAAACTCATCAAATAAGTGTGTGTGGTGTAACCATGAAGTCCTCTGTATTCGATCAGGTGGAATCCTGGAACCTGTGTCTAATCATTACAGGGAGCCCAAAGTACTTGAAGAGTTTTTATAATTATTGGTACATAGTTTGGGACAACACAAGAAATGCTCCATTGGATGCTGTCAAAACAACTGCTATTTGGCAAATCTCCCATGAACTAAGAAAATAGCCTGAGCAGAGGAACAGAGTAGCGCCACGGCTGAAATGTTCTGGGCACACAAACGACATCTACAGAACATTTAAGCGGTGCTTCACTTGAAACCAGCAAGTGAAGGGAGTACACACACTAAATAGATGGGCATCTACATTGGGAAAAATATAGTTTGTGCTTGTACCAGAGAGAGAGAAATAAATGCCCAATATGGAGTTTAAAACCTCTTGGTCTTGTCAAGGGAAGGAAAGGGGCACACTTTAGAGGGGAAGAAAACCAAGAGAGAAAGAAGAGTTTGAGCACATCTTCCAGGGTAAATGGAAGCCCTGAGCAAAGCAGAGAATAATATAAGGCATTTAGACATCTACAGTTGTGCAAGGCCTAGAGAACAGGCTGGGGAGAAATCTTCATTACATCAGCAGGAAGGGATATGAGCAATGCACCTGGAATTAGGCGGAGACTTGGGTCAAAAGCCAGTGCAGGCTCTTTGAAACCATATGGCAAAGCCACTATCTTAAGCAGCTTCTCAGTGACTCAGCTGAAGGATGTGATACTCTCCACAAGACTCTGCGCTCTTCCACAACGATGAGCCAAGAGGAATTAATACTGATCTGCTGACCTCTCCACAGGGGATTCACACATCATCATCAATAGCAAGAGAGCTGCTATTTTCCTGGTCTCAGGCTCCCAGCAACTGCCTTTGAATTAGAGGATCTTTTCAGAACAGCAAAGTAAAAAAAAAAAGTGTTATTTTTTTTCCCCTTTCTGTTCCCTGTTTTCCAAGACACTTGTAATTTCAGAATAAACACTGCATTCACACAGGCAGTCCTGACTGCAGGCCCAGAGGGGTTTGGCCTGATCCTGCTCCCACTTCCATTGGTGGCAAAATTCCCACTGAACTCAAGAGAGGCAAGATTAAAGACAATGGACCCAATTCCCATTTGCATTAAGGCTCCTTTACATCATTCTGACTGTGTAAAGTTGCCCTGTAGTTGGTGTAAAGGCCTAAATGTAAAGCAGGCCCAATATGCCAAATTTGTTCTATAAGCCCTAGCAATGCACCATACTGTACACCGTTGTTTCATGTGGATTTTTTCCCATCTTACCAATACAGAGCTTTGATTTCAAATGGGACCAGTTTTACTATGTTTGCATAGTGCCCAGTGCAACTGAACTCGGACTTGATTGGGACGCATCTGTGCTCTTGACTGAAATAAAAAGCTGATGCAGGCCACTTAGTCCTTAAAATGGACTGCACTTTTCAAGAGCTGAGGGAAATAAATGAACCAAGCAAGCTATGGCTATTTGTAAACCTTCTGCTATGTACAGTGCATGGTAAGTACTTTACACAAAGATTTTATTTTTAGAATGTACATTCACTGCCCATGAGGTGCAGCGCACACCATGGACCAGCATTTTTAACTATGGAATATCCCCTTTGGGAAGGGCAGGCTTGGTAATAACACAGAAACGTCTCCTTGGGTGGCAATTTTATAAATTGGAGGTTGCAATTAAAACAAGATTAAACTCATATGCCCGAAACAACAAACATTCAAATGTCAGGCACTCCAGCTATCAGATGGCTCTTTTGTGACTAGCTGCCCCTGCACATTTGATGAGTGCAGGAAGTGCTCAGCTCTCTGCAATCCAAACACAGGGGGTGAAGGAGGATGGCGTGGGAGTTTTAAGCTCTGAAATTCCTTCTCTGCTGGGGTTTTAGTGAGCGCCTTCAAGCAGCTTTCACATGTGCATGGTAAAAACGGCTTGCAATGCATCTCTTACCCCATGTCTTTCTCTGCTAAAATGTTGTTTACCACTGGGGACCCAATAAGTATAAATGTTTGATACTAACTTAATGGCAGATAATTGAGGAAGGGTAAACAGAGTGACAACAATTACCAAGGGACATGTAAATCAAGGTTTGGCTGGCACAAGAAGCAAACTCCAGAGTCAAAGCAACTTGCCCAAGGGCATGGATCCCAGAGGAGCCTATTTTTTCTCAACAAAAACAAGTTGGTCTAGATACCGTAGTTATGGCTCCAGAAACGGAGTGTCACCAGTAATTTGTGAGCGAGAAGTATTCTGTACCTAGCCACGGAGGATGAAGAGATCTCCATGATGACACACAGCTGCTGCTCACGATACAAGGCTCTACCTCTGAAAGTCTGGAAGGATGATGCTTTCTGCTACTGTACCGGGCCCAGTGCTCTGTACTGTACATCCCTGTGCCTGATGACAGTACAAAGCAACCAGGAATTTACCAAGTAACTCGAGTACATTGTGTCCACATTCAGGGTATTTTAATGTGTGTCTATGCCCATCTGACTCTCATTCCTGATGCTTCCTTCAAACAGTTTGCCGCTTAAAATACTGCTAATGCTGCTGACAATACCAGCTAGAAAGCGACTGAGCAACAAGTGGGTGAAAGAAACCTAAAAATACTCTGCAAGTCTTACGTAAGGCAGACACCAGAGCAAAGCAAAAGCACCTCTTACCTTGTCCTCCTCGCTGCAGGCCAGAGAATCAGTACCTTGGCATTGTCCCACTAACTCCAGAGAACGCAGCACCAAAGCAATGGAGTTTAATCAGCTCCGCTCCCCAGTGTGGCCGCAGAGGGTTAGATCCAGACACAGTGACAGGCCACCGGTTCAGATATCCATATAGCACTTGTATCTTGCACGGCGCAGCTTTCCTGTGCCTCTTCCCTCAGCTCAACCTTTCGTGCTCTGCCTTTTGTTTCCTGGGCAGTGAACCATCTGGAGGTGAGCTGCTCCAGCACACGCCGTGCTGTGCAATTCCAGAGGAGGCCCCTCCCCGAGCCTGCACTTGTGAAACAGGCTACACAAGTCTAGCTCCACCCCACAGAGCCACCCCTGCACTCAGGTGACTGCTTAGACATCAGTTAGATTTGCTAGATTCCAGGATCTGGTTTCATTCCCTTTGATGCTTTTATAGCTTTTTCCTGGGGTTGAAAGCACAAGGAATGACCTGTTAACAGCACAATACAACACCCCAGCCCAGGAGATAAGAAAAGAGATTGAATCAACAGGAAAAAGAGCAAGAGGCTGACTGTTCACACAGAAGAGTTCTCCTTCTGCAGCATGTTAGGGCTCATCCACTCTTAATTTGGATTACAAGGTGTGAATTTGAGGTGCAACAGCTATTCCAAACTAACCCCACATGCAGATGCTCTTACTCCAGAGGAAGTACCTTATTTCTGTTTAACTCAACTCATTCACTTTTTTATGCCACAGGGTCTCAGGTGGAAGCTCTAAGTGACTCCTGGTTCCTTCCCTAGACTCCAAGCTATTCAGGGCAAAGATCATAGCCTGTGCATGTCTGTGAAGGGCTTTGTATGCTTAGGTCACTATAAAAATAACTACATTTGTAATGGGGAGTTAGGAAAAAAAATCCACCACATTTTTCTCACTGACACATGTGCACATGCACGTGCACATATTACCACATGCTAATGTCAGATCTTTTGCTGCTCCAGCAATCACATCCACTGGAGAGTAAAAATTGTTGCACTGGATTAGAACCCAGTGCAGAATCCTTTCTCCGCCAGCAGCTGGTGCTCCCTGGGGACGCTGCAAACACCTTCACAGTAAGCACCTATGGAGCAACCAGCTCTGAGAAGAGGTTTCTTTCCACCCCTGAATACCTCTTCCTGATGCACCTCCTAATGGCAGACTCCTGAAGAGATGAGAGAGGGGTAGAAAAGATGTATTTAAAAAAACACTTTGTACTGGGGGAAAAGAACATTGCAGTTAACAGCCCACCCCACCCCAAAAAAAACATTCACAAAAGAACCATTCACAAAAGATGGCAAGGGCCAGGGTCAATGCACACCTCTGACAAGCTTAACTGGGCTATTAATTTAGCAAACCAGATTTAAGCAAGGTTTAAACTTGTTTAACTATGTCTACATCAAGACTGAGCACTAATGTAGCTGGACTGAGTGTAATCAGTTTAGTTGCACTGCTTCCAACACAGCCGAGAGCTTTTGTTAATGCAGTTTGCTGGGAAGCAAAGGTTTTTTGTTCAATGGTTACTCAATTGTTTGGATCTGCTGGGCAGGAGATCAAAATAAAGGGCGCTTCTCTTATCTTGGTACTACTACTTTTAAACCCCTAAAACACCATTTAGGTTAGAGGTTAAAGGTTGGAAATTTTAAGCAGGACACTAAGCAAAGATATCCGCACAGTTCCCCCTCCATCCTTTCGGGCCAGCTAAAATCCAGCCTGCCTTCGCAATGCCTGTCTGTTTAGCTCTGCAGCAGCAATGCAGGGCGAGGGGGAAGGGACTGAAGCTGCTGTTGCCAGGGATTCCCAAGTGAATCTGTTTTGCACAAGTCTCTGTGGGGCACCTCCCAAAGTTTGATTCAGACTGAAGATACTCCTGATTTACACCAGCAAGATGTGAGCATCTGATCCACAGCCCCCTATTTAACTTGGCAGCTCTCAAAGTTTTCAGTGATGCTGGCCTAAGTACTTACCCATAACATCCCCTGGGATAAAACAGGGTTATAACAATGGAAGACAGTTACAGTACTCAAACTTGCTAACTTCTGACCCCTTGGAAATTGAGATTCACACTGTCAGTCTCTGTATCAGGTCTCATTAGCACACAGAAGCAAGAGCACTTTCATTGCAGGGGAGCTGGATGGCACATAAGGCCTGTAATCTACACTGGCAAATTTGGGACCACTGCCTCCTTACTAGCTGCCAGCAATGGAGCCAATAGTGTGGACAGCCCAGGAATACCAGCTCCCAGCGTGTCTGAAACACCCCACCTCGATAAGTGGAGCAAGGCTTCTGTTGACACCTGGCAGCGAGCTGAAGGCCTGCACAGATGCTCTCGTGCTTGCTGCTGTCCATTTAGCAGCTGGTGCTTTGCCAGAGTGCATGGTACACACTGGAAGCTTGGGAGTTGTGGGTACTATCTGACCCTGGAGGCAGGTAGGTAGAGATGCAGCCTAGGGCCCCCACTTCTCAAGTCACATGAAGCTGTAAGATGCTCGCTTCAGTTTTCAAAACTTTCTGAGACTCTTAGCCTTTATAAATGTCACAGAACTGGCCTTTAAAGCAGCTTAAATGCCCTTTTGCACTACTTTAATGGTGTCACTGTTTGCACACTCAACGGCATATTCCACTTTAAATGACTTTGGTATGTAGGAAGACAAAACACCTCTACAGTGTTTTATTTTGCTACTTAAAGTGCAACAGCGCACTGGGTGCTGGAAGCCAATGTGCTTGGTGGGCCCCACGCAGCTCAGGAGCTGTGGGACCCGGAGGCAGCCTGTGCAGACATGTTCCACTGAAAAAAAAAAAGCAGCAAGCCTGATTATTTTTCTCTCACTGGGGCCTGCTTGCCTGAGCTGTGTGGGGATCCGGTGCTTCCCTCCTTGGCTGCAGCACCTCCCAGGACCACCCGGGCTGGATGGCAGCAGGTGGATGGCACCTGGGGGGCCCCCGTGCAATTCAGGGACTGCTCAGCCTGCCAGCAGCTTGCTCCCTGCCCCCCCGAAGAGGCAGGTAAGGACCGGGACCCCATTCTTGTGTACATGCCACAGGGGGTTAGTTTGGTTTAGTTCTCCCTAAATTGAAGCAGTATTTTTAAAAACCCACTGTTTCAATTTAGGGAGAACTAAACCAAATTAAACTCCTGTGGTGTGTACAAGCAGCCTCAGAACTGAGTTTCAAAAATAGCCTAAAGCCACAGTTTTTTTTAAGAGTGTGAACTGCTGCACTAATCTCAATGAGTCTTCCAACTCAGATATCTGGCTATGGCTCAGCAGAGGAATCTCTGGATGGAGTTCCCTAGTTCCCACTGACTCATTTTGCTTCTGGTGGAGGGTGCTGATCAGGGCCGGACAGAGGCATGGGCGAACCGGGCGGCTACCCAGGGCTCAGATAGATAGGGGGCCTGAAAATGATGAAAATAATGATTATTATCAATATCTCTGGTGAAGGGGGGCCCAATGCTAAAAGTTCACCCAGGGCCGCCAGGAGTCTAGGTACTGTGCTGGTGCATGCGTGTGATCAGGTATGCATGTGCGCGCGCACACACAAACACACACACACACACACACACACAGAGCCTTCTGCTTGGAAAAGATTTCTTCCTCTTATAGAACAGACCCCAACCCCTCTGAAGATAGAGAATAGCAGTGTAAAGGGGAGGATGTTTAACAAAGAATGACATTTAGTCCCAGTGGGTGAAGTCTTGCCACTTTAACCCAAAGTCATCAATGGGGAGGAGGTGGGGCAGAGACTGAAGCCAAAGTATTACTATCAATTTGTGTAAATCAGTCTGTCCCCGAGTTTACCCATCTCACAGCTGAAGGCAGCACAGTGTCTAACATAATGGCAACCAATGTCACAAACTTGCAAATGTGGAATTGCTCGGGCAAACGCAAGGTCGGAGGGGTTAAAGAGGAATCTTCTTCTGCATACAGAGCACTTTGGTAATCAGGTGGAATAGTTAAGCAATTCTCAATACATAATTCATTTCATCTGCTGTTTATAAACTGTCTTCAAGCAAATCACAGTTTTCTTGAATGGATTATTCAAAATTATGCACCAAGTCCTGCCTGCTAAGTCAGGTTGCTCCCAAAGAGTTTGTAGCAAGTATTTGATTCTTAACATTTGAGTTATTTTGGTTGGACAGAGACTCGAAAAGAAAGCATCATTCTTTCCCCTTATTGTACAAGCATGACTCCTATAATCAGGATTCCCATGTGTGCCTTTGCCGTTCTGAATGTAACACACACTTTCCTTCAATACTTTCCAATATCAACTTAAAATTGCTTCCTCAGGCATTCTAGCCCTCAAATTAATTTGCTAAATGTTAAGGAAAAGTAAAGACAAGAGAGGTATGAATGCAAAAAAAAGCAAAATCAATTAAATATTCAAATCAGTGAAGCTGAAGCTGAAAACAGAGAAGCACAGGTTAATTATATCAGCCATGTGAAGTAGTTGAGTAAATATATTAGGTGGGCTCAAAATCCCCCTCTTCCCCCCATATTGCTCTGATACACTGGGGAAAATAAATACTTCTGGCTTGCTTTGGTCATGCATAATTTTGTAAGGCTGAGTTAATTGGGTGTGCGACAAAAGACTCAAGTTTTCTCAGTTTGCTGCTGCAGGGAAGTGGCTTAAAACCAAGGCTGCGGGTTGCAGCTCTTATGCTCTCTCTCACTGAAATGAGAAGGAAAGGTCTTTGTCATGAATCACATGGAGCTCCTTCTCTTAGTTGCGATGGTGGGTTGGTGCATTACCCAGGGAGACTATTCACTCTGATGATGATCATAAAGATGGAAGAAAGATTTTACTACACATTTTATGATGTGTGGTTTAGAGGTGGAGCAATCTGCTCTGAGGAAACATGGAGTCACATGAAGAGCATGGCTCTGCGCCACAGATAATGCAGCGTAAGAACCTACAGCAATGTTCACGCTGCATGAAAGATGGCAGTTTTATGAGTCAAGTCAGCCACATCATGGCACTACGGACGTTTTTATTACGTTTTAACATAGGCACAATTGGTGTGCTGCTTTAAATTTTCAACGCATTCCAAATATGATGGTTTCCCCCCTTATGGTTCTCTGTGTATCATGTAAAATATCTTACTGCTGGGTAACAAATGACTTGTTTGCATAAAATGAAACCTCAGCAATTAGGGATTTGAGTCTGCTCTCACCTTCCCCTATATAAACTGGAAATAACCCCAACTGAAGCCTATGGATAGCACAAGAGT